CTCAACAAATAATAATAAAATTTTTTAAAACCAAACCGAATTTTGGTTACTGTTATAATATAGCCTGTTAACCGAGTGACTGATGTGATCTCGCATATGAAACAACTAATTTTTCAGTTTAGCACAAGTGGATGTTCCAGCTCAAAGACTTGCAATATACTGTTTAACTTTACTTGATTTAACCCAACTGACACAATGAAAGCCAGGGACAAGACTGTGATCATTAGAATAAAGATATTTCTCCAAAATTACTGATTTTTGTTTATTTATTGCCACTGCTAGTTTTAGAAAATGAATTTCATTCTTTTTTGATGCAACTGAGAATGAACCCTCCACTGACTTGTTGGATTCTACTTTTTCCCATTTGGCTTACAGTCAAAATAGATTAGAGTGATGCTGCATTTTGCTCTGCAACTCTGTTAATGCCAACAATTGAGGTAAATGCTTGGCAAAATTTAGTCCTTCCGTTTAAGTACGTAAATGCCTTAAACGTTCATGCAACAACAAAAAAGACCAGCCTTAACACTTTGTAATAAGGTGATTGTGTCATTGTAGCAGGCCTGCAAAATGGCGTAATTTAATCAAAAAATGTATTTTTAAACAGGAAGCAGATACAACAGATGTGTTATCCAATCATTTAACACTTATGTAGCGTGACTATATAGGTAAAGAAGTATTTCCATTCAATAAAAACATGTAGGTGTTCAGTGAGACTAACAAAACAGACAATGTTATGAGGATTGGTTTCTCCAAATACCAAAACTTGCGTGAAATAAGCAGGAAGGAGTAGTTAATTTTGATTCAGTTCACGGACACCTGGAAATATTTAGCCAGAGTGTATTTAATCAGTTAAATTGTTTTCATAGCACGAGTTAGACAAAGCTGTAGTTGCGTCATTTTAAACAGTGAAAACAAAAGGGACCAAAATTAAATCCCAAACGGTAAACACAAAGTGACTTGTTTGAGTGTTAATAACGGTATTAATACCCCTAAAATTACACACTAGAACATAGCACACGATGAATCGGATAATGACATTTTGTTTACACTTGACTTTACTGCTCGATAAGCGCTGTTAGCATGCTAGCACGCTAGCTACGACTAACTTTAGTCGTCTTGTGAGTTGCTACTGCTGACCAGCTGTGTCTCTAAGTGAACGATTACATCAATTTTATGATTTTCATGTGTCGCTTCTGATCATTTTACAGCTACATTTAACATTTCCTGCCGACCAAGTGTTGAGTTTAAAGACGAAAATGTATCAGCTAACGAGGCTAGCTTCAAAACAGCCCATGAAAAAAAGGGAAGTTCTAAAGTAAACGTGTCGGATATTTTACTAAATTTTGCCTAGTTTGGACTTAAAAGCCTATTCTAATAAACACTTACCGTAATATTACTACTTGTTTCTTGTTACTTTACGATAGAAGAGTACACTGTCGACTCCATTACAAACAGCCGTGGTAGGAAAAGGAAACTTCGGCCAGGGTACATGCCCCCCGGAAAGTGTTGCTCGTCAAGGCAGATTACAAAATAAAATAACATCTGAACTTCCGGTTGAAAATAATTTTTTTCAAAATAAAATAAAATGAAGCACGTCTTTATTGAAAATTGTGTATTTGCTGAAGTATTCAAACACAAATATGTAATTTTAATACTAATAAAACTTCAGCACAAACTAGTTATTTGTGTCATTTTCTTTCATTCAATCAAAGTGGCATCAGTCATTTTTTAAAGAAATGTTTGCCAACCTGTCCATCAGTTTCATCTCAATATTTCAGGAAAGTTATACTTTTGTTTGCATGTTTTACAATTTTGTAGGCAGTAAATACTGATAACTTTCTATCTGTGGGGCAAATAAATAATCCTGAGGGGGGAAAAACAAAACAAAAACTTTTGTCGATTACCTGTATAATAAACAGGGATTAAAAAATCTATAAAACACAATTGCTTCTAAATCTTAAGTGCACTGTATTTAGAAAGAGAGTTCTAACGTATTAAATCATTTAAAAATGTTTAAAACAACTCATGGCTTTTTTAACAGATAACAAAAACATTTACATTTCTGATTTTTGATTTCATTATTAGAGCAATTGTTGCATAGGGAAGCTAATACAAACACATCATGTTTATAATATTTGTTTTACTCCCCACCCCCACCCCAGTTCAAATCGACATTTTTATACTGTTTTTATGATTTATGCTATATCTTGAAAAACAAATAGTAGAAATAGCTGCCTTTTTTCTCGTTGTAAGATAATTGTGAAATAACGATCGCGTGCTGCAAGCTGCAGCTGGATCCTTCTCAGGTAATTTGGCAAAACGGAACAGGTTTTCTTACTAGTAGTTACTGACTTGACATGTCTTAGTATTTAATGAACAGCTGCCTCCTATTGGCCACTGAAGAGAACAGTTTCCCTTTTCAACCAAATTTGCATTTTATGTACAGTAGAACTACTCCTAACCAGTGGTGCCTGCAGAATTTTTTTTCAGGGGAGGCCATGGGGTGGCACACCAAAACTAATATCCATAACAGAATTGTTATGATGTGGTCGTAAAATTGACAATTTAAAAACTAGGGCAATATAAAGCTATGGATTTGCCAACAGATGTTTAATTTGTATTTAATTTCGTATATTATTACTGATTTTGTGACATTCAGAGACAAAAAACAAGAATCCAAACTATCTGCACTTCAGCAGCAGTCATTTTTTAACTTGTCCTGTATCTTTACACATGGAGTACCATAAATTGTCCTTACATTCATACATATTTCAGTGGCAGTAGTATTTGCAATGTTGTTGGGACCCACTGGCAGTGGTCCTCCCCCAGAAAAATTTGAAACAAGTAAATGCCATTTCCTGCATTCTGGAGTATATTAACAGGTTGTTAAACAGACTTTTGAGAAACAACAATACATAGGAAAACACTTGATGTGACTGTTCTATAAATCAAGTGGAATGAAATTGGAATGAAACAGCACTGAGTGAAGGAATATTTTACGGTAAATGTGGAGGTTCAAATTAATTAAATGATGGGGAAACTTTCCTTCAAAAATGACTGCTGTGATATCTGTCATTTTACTTACAAATGTCAAAATATATATTTTAAAGACTTTTACATGGAACAAGCTTTTTTCAATTTTAAAGCCAATCACCTCTTGTTTGATAAAAGTTTTATTTACTTGTTGATGTTTACTTTTCTGAAGAAAACATGTAATCATAAAAACCCAAAACTGGAAATAAAGACTAAAACAAGCACAATTACAAATTACATCTACCGTAGTGTTATACCAAACTATTAAGTTATTTGCTGTTTTGTCATTTAAAATTTTGGTCTGAGAGAAAACTGGAGTACCTGGAGAAAACCCGCTCCTGCATGGGGAGAACATGTAAACACAGAACAGAAAGTTTATCTGGCAATCTTCTTCCATAGAGGCAATATGTTGCTCTAACTGTGCCACCATACTGCCTAATTTTATATTAATTATCTGATTATTTAAATTATTTAATCAATATTTGATTAAAAAGTTACCTATGAATAATACCTC